ATAGTTTCTATTTGCCCCAAAGTTAGGTTTTCCCCTTGAAAAGCAGACTTTTAAATAAAATCTGCATGGTGAAACAGAAGGTCTGAGAGCTGTTTTCTATCCTATGCTTCCTCACAAGCACACACATTTTTCTCAAACCTTCACCTTATTGGCAAAGACAACTCAAAGTAGGGCTCAGACTGTAGGCACTCTTTGGAGCAGGGACTTCCATACATCACTGTATAACACAGAGCGTGGTTTGAACACTGCTCTCAGAACACTGAAGTTGCAAAATCGCACAGGAAAAATGGCTAGTCAGGCTGTTTCTTGGTGGACTGAAAGGATTTCGACAGCAGGAAACCAGAGCAAGTTTCTGTATGATTATTCCTCAGTCCAATTATGAGAAAAGTACTGCAGGAAGAGAAGAAAACTATCTGGGCAAACTACAGAGGGTTTGCATGAGTAGAGGTCTGCAAAAATAAAAACAGGATTTTACTCTGCAATATCTGGTGCAAACTGTACTGTGATCAAACTGTGATACTGAGAAATGAATATGGGCATAAGTAAACAGCTCGGGTATAGTGAAACTGTCAACTTGGTGGGATGTGTTTGTAGGTGACCCACGTCTGTGGCCGCTGTCCACTCTAGCATCTGGCAGTGCTGATGGAGGCTGTCCTGCAATAAGATGTCACTAAATTTCTTGTGTGATTTTACACACAAGGTACACTCTTACACACGTGGATGTGACATTTTCCTGAGCAAAGGTGGCTGCAGATGAAACCAGAATTTTCTACACTGTGCCACCCCAAGTCAGTCGCCTTTTCATCTGCTATGAGACAGCCATGAATTAACGTGACCTGGTCTCATTCCCCCTGTAGTATGTTGGCCTCCTTCAGCACACAGGATGGACTGTGCTTTGGGAACGGAAGAAGGGATGTCTAGTGGAAGAAGCTGCTGTCTTTAAGAACGCTGGCTCAGAGGGAGGCCTTGCATAAAAGAAAAGGGGTTGAACTGACTGGAAAGGAAACCAGGTGATAAAATAGACAATCTGCCTGTTCCCCCTCAGTCAGAGGACTGACTGAATAGGAGGTAGCTTTGCCTGTGAGCAGCTTGAATGTGGCTTCACAGATTAGGCTTTTACAGTTATAACCCAGGTCTGGCTTTGGAGATGAGCTGAAGCCTTATCAATGCAAAGACTATATAAATGGAAAGGCTACCTGCATTGTTTGGAGCCATTCAGAAGAGAGATCTGCCTGCGCTGCCGCTGTTAATATGCTGACAGTGCTAGTCGTCCTTATTTCTAGCTATATGCTACTTACAAAAAATGAGAGCTCAAACCTAACGCTGCAGCAGAAATGTTGCAGCTAAGGCATTCTGTTTACAGCAAGGACTTTGTTTGTAAAAATTATCCTCATCCTTGGCCAGCTTGAAGACAGAAATGTCCTGATGACCTGGACATCACTATAGATGCACGTCAGCGTGAATGTCCTTCTGCTGCAGCTGATGCTCCAGCACAAAGGTATCTGCACTGCAGAACTTCAGGCCAGCATGTTCAGAGAGAACTCAAATCTAACTTCTGCACTGGGTATCAGAGATGCGCAGACACAAATTTCAGTGTTCAGCTCCTGCGAAAATACATTTACAGTCATTCACATGACATCTACAGTTATTTACTGATCACAGATCATACAACAAGTCTAAAGAGCTCTTTTGTCACTCCTGTTCACTTCTATTCCATCTGTGATAACTAATTTTGAACTGTGCCAGCGGAACTAACAATTAACACAGCAACTTCTTGCTTGCAGAACTGATGCTGCAGCTCCGTATACAAGGGAGGGAGGGGGGATTGTAGGGGTCTTGGGGAGCATTGGTGGTTTTGCCTGGCTGGAGTGCCAAAGCCACCGGTTGAATTGGGCACAGTCACCATAGTAACGGTGAATTTCCGGGACTCGGGGCGACAGGTTGAAGGGATTACTCTTCAAAGCACTTGCTCCCTTGGGAGAGAAGACCTAAAGGAAGGGGATGGGAGTTAATTTAGCACACACAGTAGAGCAAGGGTCAGCAGTGGCAGGTCTCTGCTGGAGGGAAGCCTGCAGCAGCAATAAACAACTCCCTTTCAGCGGGGCTTTGACTAGAACCGAAATCACCGTAGGAGGCATTCAACAGAGAAAAGCAGGGGTGCACACAAAAGGTGACAATCTTCTGTCTTCTAAGGGACAGTTGCAACCAACAGCTTCTGAGTGTCTCAAATCTGAGTCTCTGCTTTACTGTGATGGCTTTACTCTGTTCTGCCATCCCTGTTTCCAGCACTGGGATGGCCAGATGTAGCTGCAGTGCCTAGATCTGGAAGCACCGAGTTTTGCCAGACCTGGAAGAGACGGGGAAGCAGCGGGGAGGCAAGCATGCTGGTGTGTATGGTAGGAAGGGGTGTGGAACAAAGTGCTTGGAGGGGGTTACTGAGGCAGTGGCATGGTTGTAGAGAAGTAGGCATGTAGAAGGTAAGAATATGCCTGTGCTCCAGTGTGAAGCAAGGAGAAGGGAGGCACTGTGGCGGTGCAGGGGACAGGGGAGAAGTCTGTCATCTCCTAAGGTTTATTGCCTCACTGCTGTGAAGGTATCTGCGTGGGGCCTGAAATTAAGCTGTTTTTAGAAGTGCCCATCTTCTTGTACACTGTCATTCTAATTTCCTTGGACTTTGGGGAGAAAAGGGCTGCTCTCCCGTCTGCCCTTCTGGCGAGAGAGGAGCAAGACATCACCATCTCAACGTATTGGTAATTTCTGCTAATAAAACTTCCCTTTGGGCTACTGTTAACAATCAAACCAATGCTGAGGATCAGGCCCTGCCCAGTACCAGAAAAGCACGAGCAATTTAACGCTGGTTTGGTTGCCTAGTCCTCCTAAGTGCCGGATGGGAAGACTTGAACCACACGTGGGCAAAACATTCCTTATCTTCCCATGGCTGCTGATAGCCAAGCCACTGCACTGAGGCCCAGCCACACTTCTACCTGCTTCTTCCTGTAAATCGTTTGGAGAAGTCAGTGTCTTCACAAGCTCCGAAAGCATCTTTGAAGGCTGACTGGCCCCAGTGGCTCACAGAGCCAAGGACGGGAGGCAGGATCTGACTGCTGGGAACCTGTGTGGCCAGACCTCTACTCACAGGCAGTGAATGCTTAATGCCAAGTAACTTCTTTTACAATGTTTTTTTTCCTTGTAGTAGGAAAAAGACATACACGTGCCTGGATGGGAGAAGACAGATCTGTGGTCTACAGACCAAAAAGGCATAAATGTCACTGCACCTTCCACTGACCTGGCCTTTGCTCCTGCAATAGCAAATGGTGCAGGCAGAGATATTTCACAACTAAACTATGGAAGTTGTAAATGTGGATGTAATAGAGGTGGTGACACAAGCTTAATCATAGCACTGCAGAAAGCATAGATTTATGAAAAATGTAATGTGGGAACAGAGTATTTCTATCGCCTTCTGTTAGCTTCTCAGAGGTAGTTGCAGGACTATTTCTTATCTTGCTAACTGGAGCTTTTTTCCTGCCTTTAGCCTGGTCCTTGCTTCCATTTTTTTTTCCCCACCAGGGATGCTTTGCAAAAATAAGTGCAACTCCATGAAATCTGGATCAACTTCATGCCAGGAACTTTTACCTAAAGAAGCAGGAGGCTGAAGGCAGCTATTTCAATTAGGGAAATGAGGAGATCTGAGTTCATCAATTCTTCCCTGTCACGCCATGCACACCTTGGTTATCCTCCAGCCCCTTCACTTACAGAATGCAAAAGAATCAGCTTGGAAAAGCAGCCTTAGTTGAAAGGCTTCATTTAAATGAAAACTTAATTAGTACGAAACCACCTCAAAGAGTACACCCTCATTTCACCCGTCCCATTTTGCCAGTACCTGAGCATGAGAAAGCTGGCAGAATAACCAGCACTTGTGCAGGGGAACATGGCAATTCATGGGCAACCGGCAGCGGGACTCGGGGCCCCCTCGTTCGGTGCAAAGCACCGTGTGTGTACTGAGAGCGCACCAGCCTGAGCTCTGCACACACTGCAGACAACGCTGTCTTGTCACCCCTTCTTCCTGGCCAGCCACTGCACAGCAAAGCCCGCTGTTTGCTTTTGACTCTTAAATGCTGCTCCTGCTTTTCCTCACCCCGAAAATACAGGGAGGGTGGGAGACACGGAAAAGATTTGGCTGGGAGGTTAGAAAGGCACAGGCAAGAGGGACGCCTTGATTTCCCTTGCAACGTTAAAACCCCCAAGTTTAACCCTCCTCAACTTTGGGGCTTTAGCCCCCCATTTAACGCATCTTTTCGAAGGAGGGCGAGGGGAGAGCAGCTCCATCGCAGGCTTCCCCCCTCCTCATGCAGCACGTCGGCATCTCTGGGAGCCGCTCCGACGCCACGCCGGCCTCCGCTGGGTGTCAGTGACACGCAGGGCTCGGGATACCGGGGCGGGAGGGTTGGAGTCACCCCGGCGGGCGCCCCGGCTTTGTCCTGCGTACCGGCACAGCTCCGTTCCCAGCCGCGGACGTGCCTCCCCCACCCCCACCCCAAACCCTATACCCATCCCTATCCCTACCCCCATCCCTATCCCTACCCCTATCCCTATCCCTATCCCTATCCCTATCCCTACCCCTACCCCTATCCCTATCCCTATCCCACCCCTCCCTCTCCTGCTCCCCCCCTGCGCTGAGGCCCGCACGCGGCACCCGCCGCTGCCGCGCGCCGCCCCGCGCCGAAGCGCCGCCGCCCGCCGCACCCCGCTCCACTTTCCCACGGCCGGCGGCGCGCGGCCGCGCCAACACTCCCCCCAACCCCGCTCCCAGCCGAGGGGGCGGGGCTCAGCCACCGGCCCGCGGCAATTGGCTGAGGCCGGGGCACCGTCTGCCAATGGGGGTGGCGGGGGCCGCGCGTGGCGGTGCTTGGCGGTGGGCGGTGGCGGGTGTGCTCTGCCAGGCTGCCCGACCGGCTGCTGCCTCCGGCCCGCCCGGCCGCCTCCTGCCCTGCCTTGCCCTGCCCTGCCCTGCCTGGCCAGGCCCGCCTGCCCGCCCGCTTGCCGCCGGCCCGCCCGCCCGCCCTCCCCTCGGCGGGTAAGAGGCGAGCCGTGGGAACGCTATGGGGGAGACGGGCGCCGGACGAGGCGCGGGTCGCGCACTGGGCGCCCTCCTCCCGCGCAGCGCACGCCGCCTCCCCGACGGCCGCCCGCGTCCCGCTGTGACCACCGCCGTGACCGCCGCCATAGCCATGAAGCGGGCGCACCCCGAGTACAGCTCCTCGGACAGCGAGGAGCTGGACGAGGCCATCGAGGTGGAGAAGGAGAGCGCGGACGAGAATGGGTGAGCGTGAGGCGGCCCCTGCCATCTCCTCAGCCCCGCGGAGCACCGGCACCCCTCCGGCTCCCTTCCCCGCGGTGGCGGTGCTTATGGTGATCGGTGTACCGCTATTCCCTGCAGGAACCTGAGTTCGGCGGCGGGCTCCATGTCTCCCTCCACCACCTCGCAGATCCTGGCCAGGAAGAGACGCCGAGGGGTGAGTGTCTTCCTCCCTCAGACCCGGTTACCCCTCAGTCCCCGCCGCCCGCCCCTGACCCTCTGCTTTCTGCCCTAGATCATCGAGAAGCGCCGCCGCGATCGCATCAACAACAGCCTGTCCGAGCTGAGGAGGCTGGTGCCCAGCGCCTTTGAGAAGCAGGTAGCGCTCTGGGATCCTCCGCTCTGCTTCCCTGCTGTTCCTGGGAGGAAGGGTCATTCACCCCTCTTTAACATTTCTGGATCTGCCTAAACCGCGCCGTGCTTCCCTTTCTCTCCTAGGGATCGGCCAAGCTGGAAAAAGCTGAGATTCTGCAGATGACTGTTGATCACCTGAAAATGCTGCATACAGCAGGAGGGAAAGGTAAAGTTAAGTGCCTGACAGTAGGTGAGCAGCTCTGCAGAGAGGCTGCTATGAGAGAAGTGCGTTTCCCAGCATGGGGTGTGCAGAGTGCTGTGGGAATGCTTGGAGAAACTGAATATAAACTGTAAGGTTTCATGAGGAATTTGGGACTTTCTTCTACTTGACAAGATTTGTGGCATCACTAGCACTGAAGCGAGCTCTAGGTTGTTCTAGGGGAGAAACTACAAGTCTCTACTGATGTGTCTGTACTGCTAGAAGGCTTTTGGCAACTTGGAAAACTCAGAGTTTTTGTTGTTGTCAAGTGCTTGTTTCTCTAACTTTTAGAAAGTTCAGAACAGAAACTAGAAAGAAATACAGGCTGAAATAAGTAGTGAAGAGAATTGGCATAAACTATGAAATGCACTTTTAGGGAAGAAGTATGTTGTCTGCCCAATTCCCTTCTGATAAGTTAGGACTTGTGTTTCTAACGAATTTCACTGCACTGTGGTTTTGCTTGCACTGGGGGAGACACGGAAAGAACAAAAGTACTTTCCTCCACTGCAGTGTGCAATTCCAGTTTGAAAATGGCAGTCTGTGACTGGTCTTGGGACTTGCAGCATCACAGCACAGATATAAAAGAAAAGCTTGTTAGACAGAAAAGAAGGAGAAAAAAAAAGGAGCTTGGCAGCTAATCTATGGTTGAGACTACTAACCACATCCAAGTGAAATATGCTTATAGGGGAGGGTGGAGTGGGGAGGCTGCATGCAGACAGCGACTAGAAAACAGCATCTTGAGACTCCATTCTTTGTTCTCTTAGGTTATTTTGATGCTCATGCTTTGGCTATGGACTATAGGAGTCTGGGCTTTCGAGAGTGCCTGGCTGAAGTTGCTCGATACCTGAGCATTATAGAGGGTCTGGACGCCTCTGATCCTCTGCGAGTTCGCCTTGTGTCTCATCTCAACAACTATGCCTCTCAGCGGGAAGCAGCAAGTACTGCGCACACTGGCATTGGACACATTCCTTGGGGCAGTGCCTTTGGACATCATCCTCACTTATCTCACCCGTTGCTGCTGGCTCAAAATGGGCACGGTAATACCAGTACTACAGCATCTTCTGCAGAACCACATCACCAGACCAGAATTGCTGCCCCCCATGCTGAAACTTCCTCACTCAGAGTGCCCCCAAATGGCAGCGTTGGACCAGTGCTCCCCGTGGTCACATCTACTACCAAACTGTCTCCTCCTCTGCTCTCCTCCATGGCATCTCTCTCTGCGTTCCCTTTTTCGTTTGGCTCCTTCCATCTGCTGTCCCCCAGCGTGCTGAGCCCATCTACACCAACGCAGTCAGCAGCCCTTAGCAAACCATACAGACCATGGGGGACTGAGATTGGAGCCTTCTAAGAACTAACTCTTAGTGAGGGTGGGGAAGCCTACAAGCCTAGCTGAGCTAGGTTATGCTACGGTTAAAGTTGAAGTTCTTAATAACTGGGACAAAGGTACAGCTTCACCTTAACTAACTGTCTGAAAACTAGCTCTTTGGATTTTTCTTTTTTATCCCTACATTTTTGTATTAGTAATTTTGTTAGGATTTTTTTTCAGTGGTTGCTAATGTTGTCCGAAAATAAAATTACAATAGTGGTTGTTAACACTTGTGTTAGATCTGTGCTGAGGATTTAAATCACTTTTGTAAACAATTTGTTTCAAATGTTTCATTTTTCCTGAGTACGTCAGACTGCCTTTTTATGAAGATCTGTCACCTAGAATTGTTAGCAGCAGCTTGTTCAGTTTTTCAAGACCACTCTTCTCAGTGCTAACGAGCTGTGGTTTTGTGTTTTGACACTGAGATGTTCTATAAAGAATTACTCTTTTTGTAAACTATATTTGAGTCTTACATTTCTGAACAGAGCGTTGACAAATCAGTTGGACCAGCTTTTATCTAAGAGCTCAATTTCTGTTTCTTCTGCAGTGGTTTGGTCTTAATTCTATTCCCTAGTGGACAGTTTCTCACATCTGTAACATTATTTCTTCCACCAAAAAGAGCAGTATGAGCAAACTCTAGAGTGGTGAGGGTACACAAGCCAAATTACATGCTATGTGGTGGTGGGTTTAGTTGCTGGGGAAGTGAAGAGGGAGAGGGAGGAAAGTTGTCACCTGCAATAGTCTTCCAGCTGGAGCTGGACATATGTTTATTCATTTCATAGGGCCAGATTCCTACAGTGGAGTGATTGTTCTATTGACCTGTATTCTTCGGTAGCTGAGGTCAGGCTCCTTCCCCTGTGTGAGCTTCAGACTTACACCTGAAGTGGATGATGCTGGTATTTAAATAGCCAATGGAGTAGTACAGCAGGAACCTGTTCAGTGCACAGCCTTGTTACTTAACAGATACATCCTAACCCATTGATTTTTTCTGGGGTGATCTGCTTTTAGGTGCAGGTCAGTGCCACCCCTCATTTTGTAAGTGCTCTGCTGCATTCTTGTGTGTGTGAATGTGTGTGCATGTACATCCATATTTTGGTTGATTTCGTAAGAATCTTAATCTGAACAGGTTTATCTACTGAGTTCCATTGGACAGGGTTTGACTGCTCTTGTATTTGTGTTGTGGCTAAATAAAAGAGAAAGAACAAAGTATTTTAAACTACATGCTTGTCTGATATATATCAGTGGGGAATTCTATGCCTCTGGGTATCATGGGAGATGTCAAACAATTGCTGCTTAGTCCTGCTGTGGGCATTTGTATTTACTTTTTTTCTTGAATACTATGGCATAGTTGGTTACACACCACAGTGCCTCAGAGTAACAGTCGAGGGAAGGAGAACATGGGATTCATTTTGCATGTCACTTTTACTCACCTGCAGTGTGTGGGCAAGACAGTGAACGCACTCAGGTTACTGCAGAAGAGGAGGTTAAAGCTGCACTGCATCTGAATACTCCTACTGATTTGTATTGATATTAAAAAGGGATAATCTTTAAAAATGTGGAGTCTTATGAGAACTTTATGTGTCCTAAAGTGCTGGAGCAAAGTTTTGTACCTAACAAAAAGTCTGATTAATTCACATTCAGTGCATTAGAACAAAATCTACCCAAGGGCTTCTATGGATCCTGTATTTGTTACTGAACTATACTACCGGTGTCTTACACTTTTTCTTTAAGTAAAAACCCAACAGGCTGACACATAGGTATCTTTTCTCCAAATGCAGTCCATGCTACCTGCAAATCTCTACCTGCAGAACACCAACGACTTTTCCTGGAAGTACGTCACTTCTTCCCTGTATGTTTGAATTTGTAGTATGCTTGCAGTGGTAAATGGCACATCCTTGTCTGGATTTAGCTTTGCCAGAATAGCAGAAAGAGTTGGCCCTGTGGGAGACGAGAGCTTTGTTTAAAGTGGGGCTCTCGAGCCAATTAAGGAGTGGCATTGATGGGAGGCTTTCTCGGAAGGAGGATTGCTGTGAGGAAAAAGTGGGAGAGCATTCAAGTGCATAACCTTGTTTTACCTTCCTCCCTAGGCTGTAGGAGACCACTGCTAGAAAGGCAAAAGGCAAAACACTGTGGGAGCTGGAAATACATAGGTGTTATTAAGGACAGATTACAGAGCATAGTATTTCATGTAGAAACATGAAATAAGAGGCTGTAAAACTCCAAATCCAGTTTCCTTTTCACAGTGTGTATTGTCTCCCATTTAATTATGCTCTGCCCTGTCCGTAATAGGTTTTTATACCAAATTAACAACTCCTACCTAGAAGATTGCTATAGTGCATGCAACTATTCTTTAGATCTTTTAATAAATGGCAGTGCTTCTCAGCCTTTTAATGGTTATTTCATTGACATTCAAATGACTTTGCCTGCCTCTAAATAGCTGGCTCTTTTGTGTGGAAAGACCCCTATAATTATTTTTGTCCCACTGTCCTATTCTTGAACAGACTTCAGAAGCAGAGAGTGCAATAAAAGTTTAGCTGCTGGTGTTTGTATCTACTGTCGTCTCTTTCCATTACCAATAGCAAAGGTATTAATGAAAAGAACGAATTTTATTCTTTTTTTTTTTTTTTTAGTTTTAGAGACTCAAAACCTACTGATTGTTATTGTAGAAGGAAATGAAAAAAAACTAGGAACTCACAAAACCTAGTAAGTCAAAGGGAAAGAGCACTGGCCCAGAAGCTGAAGCACCAGGATTGGAAGTCCAAGATTATATTACTACTTGTGCTGCTAACTTAATAAATTATGCTTGGTGATCACTTAATCCATACGTGTTTTGTCAGCTGCTAAAAAAGGAGTGCAGGATTTGTTCTCCTTTCATCAAGAGACAGTGGTAGCTAGAAATTTTCTATGTGAATGACAAATGTTGGGTTTTTTTCTTTCTCAAAACCTGCACTTTTGAGGTATTTTGCTATTTTTCTTTCATGTAGGATGCCAAAGACAGACTGAAAAAGGCAAAATAAACTTGCTTCTGTAGACATCAGATATCTCTTGAGCCCAAAATATTTACTTGTTTACCCTATTACAAAAGAGCAATTCAGGAGCACAAGCTTAACCAGAGGGGATGCTGGAGAAGAAAGGAAATGCATATGTGACTTGATCCCATGACCCCCCAGCTACTTTCAATTGCTTTGGATGAAGTGTGTCTGCCCGGGAAATCCTCAGGCTAAAGTTTTGTGTGGGAAGTAAGATGATGGGTTATTTCTTATGAGCTAGTATTATCTTCCTTTATCAACTAAGCTGGATTTGAGTGCAGAGTAAATGTAAGAGGCTGGTAAATGCTGCATAAATGCAGATCCAAACATTTGGAAATCCATTCTTGCTCTGGCATAAAGGAATAGCTCATGAAAGTGACACTTTTTAGCTTTTGGAAAGAAGCTGTCAGTAGTTCTTAAGACAGTTTCTGTTCAGCACTCCTGTCTTAACACTAGTAGCATGACAGAGTTTATTAGGATCATGCTGAAAACTCTCTGAATCTTGGCTATTGCTCTCTTCACTCACACATCAGCATGAGAGTCCCCAGGTGACAGCAGCCTTCCTAGACTGCTGCATAGCAGTGGGAAGCCTGCCAGCTTTTCTTCCAAGCAACAAACAAGCCCAAGTGAGCACAGATAAACTGAAATCCTTCTTCCTGTTTCATATTGTGTGCATATTCACAGGCGCTTGTTGCCAGAAACTCCCAGTTCGGATTGTAACATACTCTGTGTGGAGCTGGAAGTCTCTGTAGTGAATAACATGGAGGTCATGGGCTTTGTCTTGGAAGGCAACAAAAATGATTTACAAAGCCCTCTTCTGAGGCCTTACATGAAAGCTTGCAGAGATGTGTTGTGGTACTGGTGACTCAGTATGGTGAAGCACGAATAAGCCCATGTATTAACCAGCCTACCCAGCCTCGTGGAGCAGAGCGTGCTTTCTCTGTAACTGAATGCCTCTCTCTCTACTTGCCCAGCTTATAAATAAAAACTAGAACAGTCCTTTTCTTCTGTAGCCAGAAGATGCAGGCATTGACTCATGCTTGCAACACAGCAGCTTGACTGCAGTAAATGTTGAAATGCCAGTGCCTAGTAAGATACAGACACTTGAAGATGTCTTTTGGGTGTCTGAAGTGTTCATTTGGTGAAAGCTTTTATTGAGGAAGTGCTTGGCTATTTTATGTTGTTCTCTCTTATTCCAGCTAGTCCCACACATATTTTTTTCTCTGGCAAATTATACTAATTATTCCTGCAGGTTGAAGGAGCAGACCAAACTGCCTTGATTTGACATGTGCTGTGCAAGCCTGCCCAAGTCTTTCCAGAAGAGCACAGTTCATAGGCAGAGGCTCTCTTCCAGCTGGTTCTTCTTTTTAATTTGTCATGTAACACAGCTGTATAACACTGAACGGGCTTATCTAAGTGCTCAAAAGAGCTGAGCACTAGGGGCATTGTTCCCTGCTTATAAGAGGCCTTAACCAAGTCATATTGCTCAGACCTTTTCAGAGTCTTTTATGAGGCTGCTTTCTTCAGGTGAAGCCTCCTGGAAAGGAAGGTGGGATAGCTGGAGCCAGTTCTGCATGTTGTCTGCACAGCTGCTTGTCGGGGCAGCTTCAGCACAGGGAGAGTTTTGCAGACCACTCTCTTCTCTCTGCGTTGGCAGAGAGGCTTCTTGGAGCTTTCCGGGTGGCATGTATTTCTCCAAGATAAGCTGTAAAACTAGACACAGCCAGTAGTAACAGGTTAGAACTGATGGTATGTGCGTTTCTCTGTTTTGCACCCCTTTCTCAGAAGAAACGATGTTGGAATAGAAAAGTTGGTGGAAGAGCTCTGCAAGAGAATGGCAGGGAACAGGAAGGAAGACTGATGTGCAGGATCAGAGGAAAACTGAGGCTGTAAACAGATGAATGAATGTTTACATTGCCTGTTGGAAAGATATGGAAATAAGTGATGTCAGATGAGAAAGTAAGCTGCATGCAAGTATGTAAAAGATTCAGAGTGGGGCAGGTAATACTCAGTATTCATAACTTTGCTCAGTAAGCTAGATGAGCAACATACACAAACTGAGGCACACAAATTAAGACTGGTAAGGTGCTGAAACATATGTGTGAATGTCTTAATTGAATCTGATGGGTCACTGGCTAAGGAGGAGCCAGGGCTCAGATGGACTATTGCTGGCTATAGGAATGCATCACAGTGTGATTTACTGATTGCATTTGTACAATCTGGTCAAGTGAGTATAAGGAGGACGAGGAATTAAAGCATGGTCCATGCAGGAGATAGGGCTTGTGCTCAACTTGACAGAGAATTTGATACATCAGGGTAACTGATATGAACATGTAATGACTAGCAGCCACTTCCACAGATCCCTCAGCCTTCAGCAGCAGCTACCAACCAGCTGCTAGTGCAGCTGCTTAGATCCTGGACTTTGGTATG